ACTTCGGTGGCTTAGTGGTTAGAGCGTCTGCCTCAGATGCGGGAGGTAGCGGGTTCCAACCCCGGCCGAATCATACCAAGACTTATAAAAATGGCACTAACAGCTGCCTCGCTTGGCTCTCAGCAATTCAGAGGATTGTGTTAGTACTGGTCGGCATTCTCTCTCTCTCTCTCTCTCTCTCTCTCTCTCTCTCTCTCTCTCTCTCTCTCTCTCTCTCTCTCTCTCTCTCTCTCTCTCTCTCTCTCTCTCTCTCTCTCATGTTAAAATATCGAAGTCCGATCTACCCTGCCATAACATTTTTCTAACACTGGGTGGGCTGGTAAGGCAGCTGACTAATCGACCAGTACAAAGAAATATAGATGTGGGCAATGAATGAATGTCTTTATGGTAAGCCTCTCGATCGATCGATCGAAAATTCGTTATTTAATTTATATAATAATAATAATAATAATAATAATAATAATAATAATAATAATAATAATAATAATAATAATAATAATAAACCTAGCGTGGCGGATCTTCGCTTGTGGGTCATGAGCGATCTCTGGACCTATGAATGATATAAAATGTATCATACGAAGCAGTGGAAAAAAAACTATTTGAAAAGGAGAATAGAAACAATTGCATGGTTGGCAGCAATTTTAATTCATAAAAAAAAATGAGTGAATAACGGTACCATCATTGTATTCAAAGGTAAACAACATAATTAGATGTGATTTGTGTATCAGTTGTACTTTGATAACTCTTTCCCATGTTTAATTCCAGCAGAGTTATCTCTCTTTTGTACTCGTCAAATTAAAAATCTAACAATGTTCTCTATTACAGTGTGGGACACGCGTGCTTAGGCAGGACATGAATCGTGTGTATTTGACAAAACTTTAGCCTTAAGGTCTAGGTGGGAAAAAAAATGATTGGGACCGTGACACCTGAGGATACGTACTATTATTAGTATATATTTTACGTGTAGGGATTGGGAGAAAACGTTTTGTGGTAGTGGTCAGCTATACGTACACAGAAATAAGAATCTTTGAGAAAGACCATTTAAACGTGATGATAGTTTTAGGCCTAGTCAGTAGTGGAAATCTGAATTAGCACATAATGGAAGATACTGAGGAAAAAACATTTAAGTATGAAATGTCTAATAAAAGATTTAATAGCAGTGGAACACTAAATGACCATAATAATATATACACTGGAGAAAAAACATTTAAGTGTGAAGTATGTAATAAAATGTTTAATCGGAGTGATAATCTACGGAGGCACATGAGGATACATACTGGAGAAGAACCATTTAAGTGTGGATCATGCAATAGAAGATTTAGTGACAGTGGGGATTTGAATCGGCACATGATAATACACCCTGGGAAAAACACATTTAAGTGTGAAGTTTGTAATAAAAGGTTTGGTAGGAGTGAACATTTGAATAGGCACATAAGAATACATACTGGAGAAAAACCATTCAGTTGTGAAGTGTGTAGTAAAAGGTTTAGTGGCAGGGGAAATTTGAAACGACACATGAGGATACATACGGAAGAGAAGCCATTTAAATGTGAAGTATGTGATAAAAGGTTTAATGATAGTGGAAATCTGAAGAACCATACAACGACACATACTAGAAAAAAGACATACAAGTGTGAAGTATGCAATAAATGTTTTAGTGACAGTAGACGCCTGAACCAACATACAAGGACACATACTGGAGAAAAACCATATAAATGTAAAGTATGTAATAATAGATTTAGTGTCAGTGGACACTTGAAACGGCACATGGGGATACACACTGGAGAAAAACCATTTAATTGTGAAGTATGTAATAAAAGGTTTCGTCTCAGTACTTTTCTGAAAGAGCATATGAGGATACATACTGGAGAAAAACCATTTAAATGTGAAATGTGTAATAAAATGTTTTCTCATGGTGGAAGTCTACTGATGCACATGAGGATACACACTGGAGAAAAACCATTTAAATGTGGAGTTTGTAGTAAAACATTTAGTGGAGGTGGCTTTCTGAATGGGCATATGAGGACACATACTGGAGAAAAACCATTTAAGTGTGAAATATGTAATAAAATGTTTAGTCAGGGTGGACAGCTGCTGATCCACAAAAGGACACATACTGGAGAAAAACCATTTAAATGTGAAATATGCAATAAAATGTTTATTGACAGTGGGCGCCTGCATCGTCACATAATGATACATACTGGAGAAAAAATTTAAATATGTGGTTTCTTGTGGCATACTAATTAGAATACAAAGAATGAATTGTAAAAAGAGGATCAATGTGATCACTAAGGTGGCCTCATCTAAAGACTGACCAATAAATGTGTCAGCTAAAGGAATATCATGCTCTACTTTATTCTCAAGTGCTTTTTCAACAATAGTGCTCTTAATAGCACAAGCAGGATACAAATCAGGGATTTTAATCCCAACAGGAGCAAAGCTTTGTTTCAGACAAAGTTTGTCAGTTACTTGGGAATTAACCATGACTTTGCATATAGCTAATTTATTGAGTAGTAGTTAGAGGGTGACCAGAAACCGCCCCGGACATTCGCCACGGCAACATACGGATTTGTCGGTTTTTCTATAGCCGAAAAAATCCGGATCCGTATTTCTGCTTAGTGAATCTTGGGCCCTGATTCGTAATTTGTGAACAATACAAACTGACAATACAAATTTGAAACTTGCCAGCAGTCCAGCACTTAGGAATGCAAAACATAACTAATTTCAAATTTAGCCAACAAATCGGCGCATTGTTTTTTAATCCATAGGTAGTGGCGTGGTGTAAATATTTTTTCATCGACAGATTGAGCGATGTTTTTCAGAGTTTTATAAAGTCGCCAGTCTGTCGGATTAAAGGAAATAGTTGATTCGTCAACCGATTACTAAGAATACTTACGTAGACATTTTTGACAAATTATAATAATAAAAGTTAAACAATTTACACTAAAATACGGTAGACTAACTGAGGCTTGCATGCAGTGATGGTTGCGTGTAAGCAGTGACATCTGGATCCGGCAAATATTGCCCCAATTATCCGGATCCTGTATCCGGTGGCAAAATATACATCCGGTCACCCCTTAGTAGTAGTAAATCACCGCCTACTATAGGACAAGAATACACTGCTCCAACAATCACAGATCTGGACAATGGGACTAATGCCAAATTTACACAACGGAGAGGAACATTAACAAAGCCACACTATACTGCCAAATAAGAACGTATTCAATAGAAGAAGAATTCTCAAACATAGGCAAATATGCTGACCCTCCCTATGTTATTAGGGAAAGGCTAGGTAAAATCATCAATAAATTATATAGAACCTTCTAAAATGAATGAATGTTAAATAAGCCTCAAAATAGAATCAGACTTGGGTTTATTTGACACAACAAACGTATTGCTTTCCAAACAAGACCTTTACCATGATCTCATTGGAATAAGAACTTTTGGAATATTTCTGGTTTTTTTCTGCTACCTGTCTACTTGTATCAGTCAGAAATGGCATGTCCTTTCATTTTAAATAGGTTGACATTTGAATAGATAAGGATTTATGATCAGTTTTATCAGATATTTTTGTTGTGCCAGTTTGGGAGTGCACATAATGAGAGTGAGATTTTTTCTACCCCTAAAAAAAACTTGAGATGAAGCCTTACTAACATTTGAAACTGGAATTATTGTCAGCAATGCGAGAAGTATTTTCCAAGTTATCACTCTTTTTTCATCATGTTATGTTTTGACCTCACTATGGATGCATGTATAACTCTTGGGTTATTATGAGCTGCCTGAGGTTATCATTCTCTTATTCAACAGTTTTGGCTGAGCACCAACTATCAGATAGTTTTTTTTTCTTATTGCAAATTTGCCATTTTTTGTTCAGTTTCTTGTATAGAATTCATTAACCTTTATTGATATACCTCAGGTAGCAACTAATCACTCCTCAAGACAATTCTTCTATCATATTATTGTCAGCACTTTCTTGTACTTAAGAGTTTTGCCAGAAAGTTCACTTTGTAATAATAAAATCCTATGCTATACTGGCTGTTTCAAGCCTTTTGTATATTGCCAAGTGACTTTCAATGGGATATTAGGCACACTTTTTGATATGGAAGATGTTATCCTGAATGGGTGTGGGTTCCGGTGGAGCATCTTGCACATTACTTAGCACAATTAATATCTATTCAGTCAGATATATTCAGTTCATACAAAATACCATTTATGGAATAATTAAGGTCAGCAATGGGATATTTCCTAATTTTGTTTGGAAACGGTATACTTCAAGCGTGATCACATAGGTATCTGCCACCATGTTTAATGGTGATGACTCCTCTTGATTTAATGTCCCAGCATTTTCATTCAGTTTGGCAGCTTCATATTTCGTGTTTGAATTGGCTGATTCTACCATACTTTAATTTTTTTATTATATGTGTTCCGGAGGAATATTAAGCAATTTCTACCATCTTTGAAGCAAAACATGGACATATAAATGGTCACAATTAGCAATTATTCATTTATTGCATAATATAACAAGGCTAAAAATAAAAATCTTAACTTGAAGAGAACAGTGAGGATAACACTTTCTTTTGATTTGTAAACCATTAGAAGGTGTGAAATGGTCATGGTTGTTATGATCATATGTTGTTATTATTATTGTTCATTTTGCAAGTATAAAAGGAAACTTCACTAGCAATATTAATTCACTAGCAATATTAAAGCATAAAAATGTTTTATTTTCTTGTAATGATCACTGTAGTTGATTTAGTAGCTCATTTAGTTGTATCACCAGTTTTTTTCTTCAAAGAACTTTTAGTGAAATTTATAAATTTTTCATTCATAATCTTAGTAATTGTAAATACCACAATGCTTTAGTAGTTTGGTGTATTGTTTATCATTTGATTTATAAGGAAATAAAAAGTTATGAATGTGTTATTTGCTATAATAAACACATTTTACATGCATAGAAAAATATTTGTCAGATATATTAATTGAGAAATTTCTTAGTGTGAAAATGACCATTAATTGAGAAATTTCTTAGTGTGAAAATGACCATTAATTGAGAAATTTCTTAGTGTGAAAATG